AGAGAGAGAGAGAGAGAGAGAGAGAGAGAGAGAGAGAGAGAGAAGGAGTGACAGAGGAAGGGAGGAGAGAGAGAATGATGGCTTAGAAACGATCGCTGCAGCTGACAGGATCTCGTTATTGTATAACGTTTGTTTTTTCGGTATTTCGTGCACTCATTTGCAGAAGAAAACCTCGCCTCATAGTAACATTATCCTGATCATGGCCGACTTGATATATCAAAGCTGACCAATGCTAAATCTCTACCAGCAGCCACGTAACACTTTCTACTCAACACAGAGGTGTAAACATGTTTTACTGAATGATTTATTAGAGGTTATGCCCAATCAAGTTCGATGTGGCGAGCATTCAGACTATGGCACGATTACACTCCTGTGGCAGGACGACTGTGGAGGCTTAGAGGTGAGGCATACTAGCACATTATTACTATTCCAGTATATAATAATATCAGGAGTAAGATAATATAGGCTATGATAATGATATTGATATCTTACTCCTGATAATATTACATCAACACACATTTCATACCTAGGTTCATTTAGACATTAAGACCCGTTTAGCCTACCTATTACCCCTTACCTATTAAACTTATTTAGAAATAGGCATAGGTTTATGTATTGAACAGCATGTATGACCAACAGCAGAGAAATATGACCTTGCATGCGTGGAGGTTCTCGAACAAAATAACGCGTGTTGTTTTAACCGCTGCCGCACTTACGTCATTTGTTAAACATGCAGGTAATGAACAGACATGGTAATTATGTCGCCGCTGAACCAATGAAGGACGCCGTGCTTGTAAACATTGCCGACCTGCTTCAATTTTGGACATCCGACGAACTCATATCTGCTGTAAGGGTAACCTGATAATTTTATATGACAAGTGCCATAGAATAAATGTCATCAGTCAATTTTTATGAAGAAGGTAATATTCGTTAGTGTAAGAAATTTTCTAGTAAATTATTAGAGTATATTGTCATCATGATAATTATAGGGCCTAGTTATTAATAAAATTCATGTGTCAATGTTACAGAAACATCGTGTAATGATACCCGCGGCGGAACTGCGACAACGGCGTATTCGCCAGAGTCTAGCATTTTTTGTTCACCCCGATGACGACACACTGGTTACGCCACTAAATGGATCTATAAAGCATGAACCAATTACAGCACTGCAGCATCTACTCAACAGATTTTCCGAAACTTATTAGTATAAAAAACATAGTTAATTCATACGATAGTGACCTTGCCTAACAAATATTTGTTTTTAATATGAAATGAGTGATTCGAATATGCTCCACTGAATACCCGTATATTTGTATCGCTTCAATGTTCATCGTTAAAAAACAAATTTAAACATGCGTCTAAATTTTACATGTGATTGTCGAAGTGTTTACTAGCGCTGACATTGAATGTTAATTAATACGGGTAATAGAAGATAGAAAATACTTCAATATACGTTTTATACGTCAATCACTATCAGTAGGTACTAATAATTATGTAATTAACCACGTGCAGATCTGGTGATATGAAATCGTAACACGCACCATAACTGGAGGGGAATTCTTAGCTGTTTCAGTGATTAGATACAATATTGTAGCTATGAACATTAACTTTATATCATGTACACATTCAGATTAATATGTAATTGAAAGTATTGCTCGGATAGATAATTTAGAATATAACATGGCCAATACAGAACAATCATAAAATTATTATATAGTTCATTTTCGTTTATAATGTAGTCCAACATTTTGTAGTTTAACGATGGGCGTTCCAATATATGATTTTCGTATCAGTCATCAAGATGCACAATGAAGTGCAAAAATCTAATCTTAACAATGTGTAGTATTTATATAAGTATTAAACACATTGGCCAACTGTGGCCATCGTGATAATAAAAATCAACGTTCAAAATTATCATCTCGTCAAGTTCGCGTTAAGTATTTATAACCATGACTGGGTCTGCCTTACATGAACGACAGACAACACACTGCAGAAACATGCGTCCAAGCATCAACACCCATCGTAATTGTAGCGCAATCTTATTCGTTCTGTTTATGACCGTTCTGACGTCCATCCATAAATATAATAGTGCTGTGTTGCGGCTATATACTTGTGGATGACATACATGTATTCATATCTGTATGTATACGTGTGTACGTATGATCATGTGTAACCAGCATGAACACTCACTTCGCGTACTGAACCGTCTGAACGTATCCAACTACTGACGCCATTGCAAATTTTCGCCAATATTACTCTACTCTACCCGTTATGATGAGAAACTGTCACTATACATTGAAAGTAGTGACTCCAGGCATTCATACAGACACAGTGCAATCAATTGATCCTAAAGCGAAGCAATACACCCAGAGTGAACCCCCCTTTATTGAAGCTATATACAGTTTCAAGCCAGTCCAATTACATCTGCATAAATAGGCTTATATGGCCATGTGTTCCAGCATTACAAGTTCCGTTCATACCATAAATATATTTTTGTGATAGATATAGCCTTAAACAAACCTAGAGAAAAACGTGAAGCAAAATAATATATACATAAGGTATATACACAATTATACATAAGAAAGTAATTTGTATCAGTTTCAGCATAGCAAATCGATGCTAATTAATTTCATTGAAAATGTATTCATTTACATTATTTATTCATTACATACGTATTATTACTATTACTTGGTCAATAACTTTCACACACATCTTCTTGGTTAGCGTGTACCACTAATTGGCACACGGAGGACTATTCCTATGTTGAAGAGTTCAATACTTGGTACTTACAAGGTACAACAGACCAGGGGCGGTGCCAGGGTATTTTGTTAGGGGGGGCGAAACGAGGGGCGTGTACAGGAGCACGCGAAGGGGGGGTCTGGGGGGCTCTCCCCCAGGAAATTTTTGAAATTAGACCCCCTCAGATGCGTTTTCTGCGCGAGCAGGGGGGGTCCGGACCCCCTGGACCCCCCCCTGTACACGCCCCTGGGAACTGTAGACTGATACCGTGTGCGCTTGCACTGACGGGTGGAGTCCAGGGGGTAGATTCATGATTCATCAAGCTGCGTACGCAAAATATTTTGCGTAAATCTTGTGTACGCAATCGACGTTGCTTAGTTGCGATTCATCAACACAGCTATTTCGTATGATTTCGCGTACGCAAGCGAGGCCGTTTTAGGTGCGATTACTTACTTAATTTTACCACGCTAAAATTTACGTAACTCCTTGCGTAACTTTACACGAGCTGACGAGGTGCCGTAAACCACTCGAAATTTCCGCAGGTGTTTCCAGCATACCGCAGCATGCATTATTTTATTGAGAAAACATTATAAAGTTACTACTCAACTAAAAATAAATAAATAATTACCATACTACACAGACAGGCGGCGCCTTTGACGCTTTTTTTGTCATAGATTGGCATTGTTTTCGTTATAAGCGAGTTCGTAGTTAGCCATGTACGTGCACACGCCGTGCGCACTTGTACGTGCACACGCACGCACGTGTACGTGCACACACACGCACGCACGCACGTGTACGTGCACACGCACGCACGCACGCACGCACGCGTACGTGTCGCTGCTTTCATCGAGTGTTGAACACAATCATACAAACGAAAATGAGGACAACTATCACATCCCCCAGCACTCCTGTAGACAGCTAGAGCCATATGGTTCACATACAACAGAGGCGTCAGTTTGGTTCCTATGGTATGTGTGCACAGTGTGATTGGTTTATGCTAGGCACGCCCCTCAACAGCCAGCAGCTACGATGGCGTAGTGGATTTACACTGGAATTAATCAACATTTGGAAAACGCATCTGAGGGGTGTAATTTTTAAAAATATTCCCTTCGGCGTGCTCGCAACATGGGTTATCGGTTAGAGCCCGCCGCCTGTTAGCAAATCCTGTAACACGCCTCGCTGCCGAGCAAATTGCCAACATTGAAAAACGAAACCCCCATATAAAGCTGCTTACGGGCCTGGTGTTGGTGTGTGTGTGTGTGTGTGTGAATGTGTGGTGTGTGTGTGTGTGTGTGTGTGTGTGTGTGTGTGTGTGTGTGTGTGTGGGTGATGTGTGTGTGTGTGTGTGTGTGTGTGTGTGTGACGCGATTGGATATTAGCGCGTACAGCGAGCGGAGGCCAGCACAGCCGCTGCTGCCTGGTCTGAGCGCGAGCGAGCATACGTGCGTATATCGTAGTTATTCGTGTGTTTCGTGAGTGCGTATGGCGTATCGGCGTATGGCGCTGGCGAGGTATGCTCTTCTCCGTGAGTGCCCTCTGTCTAGTTTTTAGTTAGTGTGTGTATGCGTGCGTGTGTGGTTGTGTGCCGTGTGCGTATAGCGTTCGTTCATCTCTCTCCGGGTTATAGTTTTTCTCGCCTACTACAATAATATCAAGAATATTGGTTCAAGTCGCTACAGCATAGATTTTAAGCAAATCACTGTTCGGCCCTCACAGTTCGCGGAAACCCCCTCTTTTAAAACGGGGCAGTAGCCTCTAGGATTTTACTGGAAAAAAAAAAAAAAGAGGATAAAAAAGAAAAAAAAAAAAAAAGAAAAAAGAAAAAAAAAAAAAAAAGAAAAAAAAAAAAAACAAAAAAAAAAAAAAAAAAAAAAAAAAAAAAAAAGAAAAAAAAAAAAAAGAAAAAAGAAAAAAAAAAAAAAAAAAAAAAAAAAAAAAAAAAAAAATATTAGCCAACTGTACGATTACTGATAATCAACAAATCGTCTATACCCACACGTATTTGTTAGCCCAGATACCCAATTTTAATTGTTAAATTAATTACACAATGCACGCTACGAAATTTGAAGCGGCCTATGACACCCGCGACGCGTGGCTGCCCAACCCCGAAACAAGTTGCGTATTTGACAATTATTGTGCACGTTACAGACGCGAGGGCTAATGACAAAAAGTGCAATATATTTATACCTAAATGCGCTATTTAACCGAGCGATATTCATTTTTAGGACAAATTGTATCCATAATATATACTGAAACTATTTGTCGTTTATAATGAAATTACAATCCTTTTGCTTTCTAAATGAATAATAAGAAACACCCTCGGTCTGCTAGGCCCTTGGCTGGAAAGGGTTTTGCGCAATCTTAACGGATCGTGCGCTTTGGATGTCGGCCACCGTCGTTGTAATCAACTGTAATCGTTAGTGTTAAAACATTTTAAAAAAATGTTTCTAATCTGTGATTGGAACGCATTAAACTTTTTAATGTAGCGGTAATTATACACTAAATTAGCTGAAATAACCCTAGAACGGTGTAGGAGTAAGACTCTCGCCTTTAAACGTGTCCAGTTTCATGACATTGATTCAAACGAAAATCATAGCTAGTTCCGAGACCCCCATTTTCGAAGGGCATAGCCGTTCCAGAGCAACCAAATTCAACAATAACATTAGTTCAGAGAGCCACCATTTTCCGGGTCTGAGTAGTTCGCAGAAGCCGCCCCCCCCATTTTTAACTTCGCAGTGGCAGGCATAGCAAATACCTACCAATAATGGTGGGTGAGTCCTCCCCGCCCGCCCCCCGGGTTTCATCTCCTTGGTATATGTGGCTCCTTGGTTTCCCTGGCACAATATTGTGTCAGCATGTCGAGGGCTTTGATTAGCTGACTCTGAAGCTTCCCGGACCGCCTTGCCAGGGGTCTGCCCCATGGCGCCCACCAGGGGCACTAAAAGGCGGGCCCCCCCTGGGCGGAGGATTCGTCAAGCGTTGCGCAAGAGTGTATTGCGTACACAGAGTTTCATAGCGAAGTACGTACGCCAAGCTCGTAGGTGGCGATTCATCACGCAGCGTACCGCTGCGTCGC